GGAACTCCAATGAGTCCGTCAACAAAGCTCGACAAAGATGAAAACGGTAAGCCGGTAGATAAAGAGAAAGAATTGGAGCGGGTGAGAGAGAAAGAGAGATAGAATTTATATAAAAAAATGTTGGAGTTTATTTCTACATTAAAATCATCACTACTCCATATTAAATTCAATAATCCAAGATTTGTAAATAAGACATAGAATCCAGAATATATATAATTATTAAAATGGGTTAGACATTCCAAGTTCTTTTCTTATGAAGCAAAATTGATTTTCGTTTAGAGGTTTTGTGAAAATATCCGCCAATTACTTGTCGGTGCTTATAAATTCAAGCTCAATGTCCCCTTTTTGAACATGATCTCGTATAAAATGATGTCTAATCTCAATATGTTTAGTTTAAGAATGTTGAATTGGATTCTTAGTCAAATTTATTGCACTTGTATTATCACATTTAAAAAGAATATGATTATAATGTAAATTAAAATCCTCCAACTGTTGTTTTATCCATAATAATTGAGCACAACAACTTTCAACTGCTATATATTCAGCTTTAGCGATGTATAAAGCAACTAAATTTTGTTTCTTGCTAAACCAAGATACTAAAGCAAGTCCTAAAAATTGACAAGTACCACTAGTACTCTTTCGGTCTACTAAACTACCAGCATAGTCAGCATCCAAAAACCCGATTAAATCAAACGAGACACCTTTAGGATTAAATAATCCCAAGTTTTGAGTACCGACAAGATATCTAAAAATACGTTTAACAGTAGATAAATGTGATTCTTTCTGATTAGACTAAAACGTAGCACACATGCATACACTAAACATTATATCCGGCCTACTTGCCGCCACTTTCATCACTACCATCATCCACCCACTTCCATTACTGCTCTACCAAAATTCATTACCGCTCTACCAAGATCCATCACCAATCTACACAAAACCTTCATTACCGATCTTCACCATCATTTCTGATCTACCAAGATCCATCACCAACCTACCAAGATCCACATCCGATCTACAAAAATCCATCCCCAATCTATAATAAAAAAAATCCTTCTGATCTTCACCATCCCCGCCGATCTACATCATCATTGTTCATCGTCGATTCTCACATCTGCCAACATCGTTTTCCTATTAAAATGTTAAAATTATTTTTACAATTTGCAATACTTCTTTTGTAGTTGCATGTGCTACAAACTCTTTGTTATTGTATTACTATTGCTTCTACCTGGTATGAACCATTTGGTTTTATGTGTCTTTTATCTTTTTTTGCTGGTACACTCGGTGCAGTTGTATTTGGCCGGATCTTAATGGCCCTTTGGTATTATTGATTGGGAAACTATTCGGTAAGTTTTTTTATGAAGCGTCATAACCTCAGGGGGAGTTTTCTTACAATTATTTTCTGATCATATGCATTAACTCAGGGGGAGTTTCTATACTCAACAGATATTGTGTTAAATGCTTGCATTATTGTTAAATATTTCTTGTTGCATTTATTTCAAAAGATAAATAATTTTCTTTATCCGTATTAACCTTTTATTTTGATGATGTCAAAGGGGAAGAACAACTATGATTATAAATTATTTGACAAAAGAATTTGTTAATAAAAGGGGAGAAAATATAATGCTAATAATTGATTGTTGAATAAATTTTCATTTTGCATTTAGTCCTGTGAAATTTTGTGTCAAATTCATGTATACATTGCCATCATAAAAAGAGGGAGATTGTTAATCATATGGTTTAATTTTGATGATGTCTAAAATATTATTTGATAAATTGTGATTTTTTAATATACATATTTTATATTTTTTGACACAAAATATTATTTGTTTAAAATATATGTTATATGATGTATTTGTTATAAATATTATTTAAATGGAAGTTACTATGTAAGATCTGATTTTATATAAATATTTTGAAAATTTTACTATTTACGTTTTGAAAAATCTGGCTGATCACTATTCATCTTTTGACAAATTTGATATTGATTGGTTGTATTCTTTTGAAGAAGCTATCTATGGTTGCCAGGTCAAGTGTGGAGGCAGAATTTAGAGCTATGGCTCATGAGATATGTGAATTGTTGTGGTAGAAGTCATTTTGAAAAATAAGGTTTTGATTAGATAGTCCCTATGAATGACTATAAAGTTGCTATTAATATAGTTCATAATCAGTTCATAATTTCATTGTCGCTGTTTCAAAACTATACATATAGTTCATAATCTAGTTCAATATGATAGCTGAGCTCATTTGATGGAACTTAAGATTTAGTTTGGTTTGGTTTAATTTAATCTAGTTCAATATGATAGAACAAAAAATGTAAAAGTTGACATTTCATCAAAGAAAAGTTGAATGATGGTATTAGTTATACTATGCTTATCAAAATTGAGGACCAGCTTAGAAATATTTTGCCGAAAGGAGTGGCTAGTGCTTAGTAGCAGGAATTGTCAAAAATGGTGAAACAAAGTTGCACGAAGCCTTCACCGATCTACACAAAACCTTCATCACCGATCTACACCATCATTTCTCATCTACCAAGATCCGTTACCGCTTTACCAAGATCCATCACCGATCTACCAAGATCCACATCCGATCTATAAAAATCCATCCCCGATCTACACAAAAAAAATAAAAAATAAAAAATAAAAAATAATCCTTTATTTTGTTCATAATTTTACCAAAATCCATTACCGCTTTACCAAGATCCATCACCGATCTACACAAAACCTTCATCACCGATCTTCATCATCATTTCTCATCTACCAAGATCCGTTACCGATCCACCAAGATCCATCACCGATCTACCAAGATCCACATCCGATCTATAAAAATCCATCCCCGATCTACACAAAAAAAATAAAAAATAAAAAATAATCCTTCCGATCTTCACCATCACCGCCGATCTACATCATCATCGATCTTCATCGTCGATTCTCACATCTACCAACATCGTTTTCTTATTAAAATGTTAAAATTATTTTTGCAATTTGCAATACTTCTTTTGTAGTTGCATGTGCTACAAACTCTTTGTTATTGTATTACTATTGCTTCTACCAGGTATGAAGCATTTGGTTTCATGTGTCTTTTATCTTTTTTTGCTAGTACACTCGGTGCAGTTGTATTTGACCAGATCTTAATGGCCCTTGGTATTATTGATTGGGAAACTATTCGGTAATTTTTTTTATGAAGCGTCATAACCTCAGGGGGAGTTTTCTTATAATTATTTTCTGATCATATGTATTAACTCAGGGGGAGTTACTATATTCAACAGATTTTGTTAAATGCTTGCATTATTGTTAAATATTTCTTGTTGCATTTATTTCAAAAGATAAATAAATTTTTTTACCCGTATTAACCTTTTATTTTGATAATGTCAAAGGGGAAGAACAACTATGATTATAAATTATTTGACAAAAGAATTTGTTAATAAAGGGGGGAGAAAATATAATGCTAATAATTGATTGTTGAATAAATTTTCATGTTGCATTTATTCCTGTGAAATTTTGTATCAAATTCATGTATATATTGCCATCATAAAAAAGGAAAGATTGTTAATCATATGGTTTAATTTTGATGACGTCTAAAATATTATTTGATAAATTGTGATTTTTTAATATACATATTTTGTATTTTTTGACACAAAATATTATTTGTTTAAAATATATGTTATATGATGTATTTGTTATAAATATTATTCAAATAGAAGTTATTGTGTAAGATCTGATTTTATATAAATATTTTGAAAATTTTACTATTCATGTTTTGAAAAATCCGACTGATCACTATTCATCTTTTAACAAATTTGATATTGATTGGTTATATTCTTTTGAAGAAGCTATCTATGGTTGCCAGGTCAAGTGTGGAGGGAAAATTTAGAGCTATGGCTCATGAGATATGTGAATTGTTGTGGTAGAAGTCATTTTGAAAGAATAAGGTTTTGATTAGAAAGTCCCAATGAAAGACTATAAAGTTGCTATTAATATAGTTCATAATCAGTTCATAATTTCGTTGTTGCTGTTTCAAAACTATATATAGTTCATAATCTAGTTCAATAGGATAGCTGACCTCATTTTATGGGACTTAAGACTTGGTTTGATTTGATTTAATCTAGTTCAATATGATAGAACCAAAAGAAAAATTGAATGATGGTATTATTTATACTATGTTTATCAAAATTGAGGACCAGCTTAGAAATATTTTGCCGAAAGGAGTGGCTAGTGCTTAGTAGCAGGAATTGTCAAAAACGGTGAAGCAAAGTTGCACCGAGCGAGAGCACAGAAGCGTTGGCACATAGAAGTTTCTTAAGTTGAAAACTCCTCGGGGAGCACTTATATATATTTTATATACGTATACAAATATATATATATATATATATGACGTAAAATAATTAAAACATACAATTTTTTTTTCTTGTCGTTGTATTCAAATATATCAAAGTTCATTATTCTATTTATTTATATAATGTGTTCTTTTTTTCGATGGACTTTGATTGCTATACAATTGGTTTCCAATAATATTTGGATTTGTAAGGTATAACCAATTATAGGCCCAATGATGAAGCCCAATGAACTTTTAAATGAAGCCCATGACCCAAGACTAGGTCAAAATAAAAATAAAATAAAAATAAAAAAAAATAATAAAAAAAAAAGCAAATAAAGCGATGATGCTCTCTCATCGTCACTCTCATTGAAGATGATGACTGCTTCGACTCTTCTCTCTCGATCCGTTCCTCAAGTTTCACATCGTCTTATTCGATAGGTATGTCTTGTTCTACCCAAATCTGATTTATAAAAAACAATCAGATCCATGTTTTGCTTCAGATCCATGTGCCCAAATATGCTTCAGATCTATACCCACCGATCCCATCTTAGATAGAAATGTGATTCTCTCCCCACATAAACACATTTCTTACACGTTTCTTTGGAAGACATTTCCAAAAAAAAAAGACGCCTGATTGCTCGATCCCTGCTACTAAGGGTGAAGTATCTACCCCAGAAATGCAATTCTGCGATTCAAAGAAAGAAACATGATTCAAACAGAGATGAGACCAGTCAAACCAAGGATTAGAAACTTTTTTTCTTTTTGACTAAAATGTCTGATTAAACAGAGACAAGAAAAGATTATTTGGTATAAAAAGAAGGGGGAAACAATAAAATAGAGAAGAAAGACTGGAAGAGAAAGATTGATAGAAGAAAACCTGGCTGAGATTGGATTAGTGGTCTTAGATTTTGAAGATTGTTTGAATTCGCTGCAATGTTGGGTCTTCAGATCTTAACCATCTCCTCCCTTCTTTTTTTTTTTTTTTTGGTTTCTTTGTTTATTGGATTGGGTTGGATATAAAAATGTATTGGGTTTTTGGCTGTAGGCTCAGGATTGGACTAAGGGATTAGATTGGGCTGAGTTAATGGGTCGAGGTTCTTAAATATGGTTCGAGTTTAGGGTTATAAGGTGAAACAATAATTTGAGAGTGATAGAGAATAGAGAGAGAGAAATACTGAAGTGTTCAGTTGTTATATATCTGTGTAATTACAAGGAGATTTACACCTCTCTTTTATAGAGAGGAAGAGGGACATTGGGTGCCGTTGCACCGAAAGCATAAAGAGAGAGAGGGAACAACAATTATGAAAGCATAAACATAATAATGGACTACAATGATGACTAACACTGTACAATATGAATATACAATAATATACTAACATAAGGAATGTGTTGGTCCTGAGGGGTTCATGTGATACGCTGTATAACCCTTTTCACTTCTTTACGCTGGTTTTATCCTTCACTATTGAAGGAATAACTATGACGATGACGATGATATTCAGAGTCAACAGTAAAGACAAAGCAGCGGCAGCAGCCAATGAACTGACTGGGTTTCGCTGTGACATTGAGAAGTAACGCAATGGAGGTCACGATGGTTTCTGGTGGCTGGTTCTGGATTGTAGAAGAGGCAGTGAAGGTGGGGCCATTTCCCAATATAAGCCATTTTTGTATTGTATTTTCAAAACTAGGCCAACTTCTGACGGAATTCCAAAACTAAGTTAAAACGCTATTACTATTCGCGCTTTCACTGTTGGGAGCGTAAAAGTAGGTGAACAGTAAAATCGCTATTACAAATAGCGACTTTGATTAATAAGTCGCTATTACAAATAGCGCTTCTAGGGTTATTCTTTTTCCGAATAAAAAACGCTGTTCTTAACAGCGCTTTTCACACAAATTTTTGTTGCAAAAAAACGCTATTATCAATAGCGATTTTAACAAAAACAAATTTCCCAAAAAACGCTGTTTATAGTAGCGATTTTAACATAATTTTTTTTCCAGAAAAAACGCTATTCATAATAGCGATTTCAGTTTTTCAATTCTCAATTCTCATATTTATGATTTATTTAAAAAATTCAAAAAATTAAAAAAATTCCAAACCCGATTTATGATTCAAAAGCATAAAAATTCAAAAGCATTAGAACCCTTAATAATGTGAACCCTAAAATGACATCCTAATTTGAACAATCCTAATAATGTGAACAATCTGATATCGAACCCTAATTTCATCACCACAACCACACTGACAAAGCATAAACATTCATAACCATATTCAATTCACAAGCAACATCCAAAAATTCAAAAGCAAAAAAATTCCACAAATTCAAAACCATTCGCATTTCTGATTTCCAAACCCTGATTTCTGATTTCAAAAAATTCCAAACCCTAATTTCATAACCACAATGATAAAAACCCTAACACATTTAATAATTCACAAGTAAAACCCTAACATTGACAAAAAAATACAACACATTTACAAACACAAAAAGTAAATACATAAAATTAGGGTTAATGTCATACCACGGAGAGAGACAGACAGCAGAGACAGAGAGCGAGAGCGAGCTGAGATGGAGCGAGAGCAGAGAGAGAGAGAGCGAGCGAGAGCAGAGAGAGGGAGAGCGAGCGAGAGCAGAGAGCAGAGAGAGCCAAAAACCTAAGTCTGAGTATGCAAATGAGGGGGGGGGTTTGTTCGTATATATGAGGAGTTTGAAAACGCTGATATAAAAAGCGATTTCATTTAAATGAAATCGCTATTACAAATAGCATTTTTTGGCAAAAAAATTTCAACTGAAATCGCTATTAGAGATAGCGTTTTTTCCGGGGAAAATTTTTTCTTAAAATCGCTATTACGAATAGCGTTTTTAAAAAAAGCGCTGTTAGGAAAAGCGTTTTTAACAAACCCTAGAAGCGTTATTTGTAATAGCGACTTATTAATCAAAGTCGCTATTTGTAATAGCGATTTTACTGTTCACCTACTTTTACGCTCCCAACAGTGAAAGCGCGAATAGTAATAGCGTTTTAACTTAGTTTTGGAATTCCGTCAGAAGTTGGCCTAGTTTTGGAAATACAATACAAAAATGGCTTATATTGGGAAATGGCCCGTGAAGGTGTGACTTGATGGTGACAGATCACAAGTTTGCTCTGATACCAAAATGTTGTAAAACCAAGAACTCAAATGGCACAACCCACTCTAGCGTTTTCTCAGGAAATTATGCTCTCTCAAAATCAATTCAGTGGGTTTGGGTTTGGGTTTGGGTTTACTTTGAGATTTCTGAATTAAGTTTTTTTGTAAATTGATTTTTTTGATTTTCATATTTTTAGTGAATATTTTTTAAATTTTAAACATGTTTTTTTGTTTTTTTATATGTACCTTACTTAGATGTATTTAAAAAGTAAAAAATTTGTAAAAAAAAAATGCTCTCTCAAAATCAATTCAGTGGGTTTGGGTTTGGGTTTGGGTTTACTTTGAGATTTCTGGATTAAGTTTTTTTGTAAATTGATTTTTTTGATTTTCATATTTTTAGTGAATATTTTTTAAATTTTAAACATGTTTTTTTACTTTTTTATATGTACCTTACTTAGATGTATTTAAAAAGTAAAAAATTTGTAAAAAAAAATTTAAAAAAATTAATAAATATATAAAAATACAAAAAATGTATTGAATTCTTGTATTTTTTTTATATTTTTGATATTTAGTAAATTTTTAAAAGATTTTTTTTATAATTTTTTTATTTTTTAAGTGTATTTATGTTAGGTGTGTCTAAAAAGTAAAAAAATTGTTTAAAATATTAAAAAAATTCAATAAAAATAAAAATATACAAAAAATAAGAAAGTATAATTTTTTGAAAAGTATTTTTTAAAAAGTGAAAACAAGCAATTATTATTCATTCAAAGATGAAATTTCTGTTTCACAATCCCCATATGTATATAAGACAAACAAGAAAATGAAAACAAAACGACAAAAAAAATTAATTTAGAAACAAAGTGGTGTTTTGAAAAGTTGGTAAAAAATTGACTTTTGACTTTTTTAATTAAAAAAGTTAACTTTTTGGTAATGACTTGGGTAAAAAAACTAATTTTTTTGACTAAAAAAATTAAAAACTAACTTTTTGGCTTGCCAAAGCAAGCCAAAATCTCCTAAAAATTCTAGGCTTCCACTTGACGCCTCTAAGAGTATCTCCAATGGTTGTTGCTATAACACCTTTGTTATTGCTATAATTTGACAATGAATAGTGTTATTTTGCCAAATTATAGTAATGATCCTCCAATGGTCACTTGCTATTTTAACAAATCTCAACCAACTTCCCTCCAAATTTTTAGGTGTTGTTTGGATATAATTTTTTTAGGAATTTTATTTTTGTTTATTTTTTTGTCTTTTGTGACCTTTTTTAATTGTTTCTTAAAAAAATTATATATTTATATTATTTATGACTAAACAATTAAAAAATTAGAAAAATTAATTTAAATATAATTCACCCTACCAAAAAATATATCATTACAAAAATATAATTGTTGTGCGTATGTTTCATTTTTGTTTTTAATTTTTTTTTAATGAACAAAATAACACACTTAGATCTCAGCCGTTGAATTGTTATTAATCAACGGCTGAGATCAATCTCCTAGAATGATCTACTCAAATATGAAGAATAGCCCCTTTGCTGACATTTGCTCTCTTTATTCTATGTGCGTCTCTATCCTCTCATCTCTTTTCATTACTCACTATTGCCTCTATCTCCTTCACTCTCATTGTCTTCATCTCTCTCTCTCTCTCTCCTTGTTTCTCACATTCTCTCTCCCTATGTCTCCACAAGAACCCCCTGTTTCTCGGATCAACTTTATCACACATTTCAGATCAATGAAGATCAGAGAGAGAGAGAGCTTCGGATCAACTTCATCTTCGAATCAATGAGCTTCAGATCGATGAGACTTTCTCTCATCTTCAGCTTCAGATTTACTTTCTCTCATCTTCATCTTCGGATCGATGAGCTTCGGATCAACTTCATCTTTGAGATTATTTAAATCCAGGTATTTCAAACTCAACCTCGATTATTTCAAAGCCACGTATTTTTCTTCTAAAATTCACTTGAGATTATTTGAGAAATTAATTTGAGATTATTTCTGTTGGTATTTTGGAAAATGATATTTCTGTTGGTATTTTTCTTGTTAGTATTTTTGTTGATATTTTTCATTTGAGAAATTCATTTGACAATGTCTATTGATATTCATGTTGATTATTTGAAGATGATATTGCTGAAATTTGGTGATTTTTTGAATATGATTAATTTGGTATTGCTAAAATTTGGTATTGAAGATGATTAATTTGGTATTTACTGAAATTTTGTGTGAATTCTGTTTTAAACAAATTGGTGAATTTCGTTTTAAAAAGAAAACTTCAATCATTCTAGAAAAGTCTCTACTGAAATGGAAGGAGGAAAGGAAGAAATCAGTTTGTTTTTGGTGACTTGGCAGATTTGGCAGCTGCCAAAATAATTGCCAAATTTGGCACATGATTTGGCAATTGCCAAATTTGGCAGCTGCTATAGCATGCCATTGGAGAAGCCATTTTTGCCCAAGCTGCTATATTATGACTTTAGCAACTGTTTTAACAATCCATTAGAGATGCTCTAACTCCTATAATAAGTCTTAATTTCTTTCCTTTCTTACGGCCAAAACCCTAATTATAGATAGAAAGATACCTCTCATCTAACGAGATTTATATTTTTCTCAAAGTGTCTATTATGATTCTTTTCTAATTGATGACATTATTGGCTACATCTTGTACATAGGCATAAATCCACTCTTCTCACTGTTTTTCATTTTATGAAGTTACTCTCTCTAAAAAGTAAGTTTCTCTTTTTATAACATTCAAATAATGTATTTATTGTCTGATTGGTTTTTTACATATTAATTAATTACAAATATATATATATATATATATATATTTATGACCAAGTGTAGGAGTCAGCTTACGTGCATCTCGACTAATCCCTAGACCCATACAAAGCGCTACTGCTACATGGATCAAAAAAATCTCGTGCAGAGCCCGCAAGCGTGGCCCCAAGGAGTTGATAGTATCTAATAAGAGTTGAACCTAAAATTTGGAGGGAACACACTCCCAAGCCCCAAGTTGCACCTGCAAGGCCAACCCCTTAGGGTTCACCTAACGAAATATATATACTTATAACAAACAAGATAAATAGTCTCACCCTCTTAAAAAGCTTAAACTAATATTTATTGAAAAATACATAAAAAAAATATTTATCAAAAGCTCAATATTATCCATATTTTAAGATGTATATCAAAACATACACAAAAAAAAGTAAATAATAAATATATAAGCAAAAAAAAGAATCTTATAATATAAATGAATATATATATATATAAGATACATAAACACTCTGGGCCCCTCCTTTGTTTCATTGAACTAAGGTCTAGTATGTTGTTTTATCATGTTCTTAACTTATACTCAGTTTTACTTTGTTGGGCATTCATAATATCTTTGTCCTATTTTGAGAGGGAATATTGATTATGTACTAGTTAAGAGGTTAGTTTTGTAATCTCATATATATACATATGTTGATGCTGTTCGTCCCAGTGAATGGATCGGGCAGGTCCAAGCTCCTCAAACCCACGTCCAAATGATCAAGCCCACCGGATAACCTACAGGCAAGTTCAACGGGGAACGGGGTAGTCTCCCAGTGAACTCTCCGACGAGCAAGTTAGGAAGAGAAGTAATGTGTAGAGGGAGAGATTAGAGATAGAAAGCTTAACCTTTTTCTTGTCTACAACGTTCGCTTATATCATTTGGCAATCATTTCGCTGTCCCTTCCGACCTGCTCTCCTTGCCGAAAGCCTATGCTATAGCTTACCTTGCTCAGGGTAAGGGGGTCCTGTTCCGGCGGAGAGGTGTTGTCGTAATAAATGCTGTGATGGGCTGCATTAATGGTGATTTGCAGTGGCAATAACTTTGCAAATCTTTGTCTGCTGATGTGGCTCGTCCTTCACCCGCCACGTGCCTGAATGCCGTTGGTTCTTGATGCCATATTGGATTCCAGCTGTTCTGGACTCCATCGGTTGGGTTATGCATTGGGCCCCGAATGATGGGCTCGGGTTGCTTATAGTGGTTCATGGCCTTTGTGGGCCTGTCCATATCAGTAGTCCCCCATTCCCGAGTGCAGCTTCAGACCAGCAAAGGGAATATGTATGAGGAAGACGAGTCTGACCGGGATGGGTGGCTGAGTTGGTGAGTCGAGCGTAAGATGGTCCGACCGTGGGGAGGGTTGATCGCGGAAAGGCCAAACGGAGGGCCGACCGGGAGGAGATGCGACCGTGCGGGAAGGCCGAGCTAAATGGCTGACTGTGGAGAGGGGCGACCGCACGAGAAGGCCGACCGTTGAGGACAGGCCGACCGTGCGGAGGGCTGATGGCGCGAAGGCCGAGCGGAGGGCCGACTGGGAGGAGATGCGACCGCGCGGGAAGGCCGAGCTAAAGGGCCGACCGTGGAGAGGGGCGACCACGCGAGAAGGCCGACCGTTGAGGACAGGCCGACTGTGGGGAGGGCTGATCGCGCGAAGGCCGAGCGGAGGGCCGACCGGGAGGAGATGCGACCCCGCGGGAAGGCCGAGCTAAAGGGCCGACTGTGAGGATGAGTGATCGCGTAAGAAGGCCGAGCGGATTGACGCGAGGCTCAAGGGACGGCGTGGCCAGTGATGATTTGAAGTAGAAAAGACAAGGTAAGGGGAGTGGACAGTGCATCGTGGTCGTACACATGGCAACATCCCGTGAGGGGGAAAGATTAGGCGTTGGATCAGAAACGAAACGTTAGGTCATTATGGGTGTTAAAAAGACGGTTTTGGAGGATGATTTTGAAACGTTTTCAAACTGGCGAAAATTAATTAGGACCCTTGGAATACGGGCAAACCGTGGGATTTTGGCATTATTCGATTCACCTACTTGTGTACGAAAAATCAAAATATTCCAAGTGTGAATTCCTTTGTTGCTCACAATACACCTCTGCAACACTTTTTCAATTTCCTTGTTCCTGCCGCCGAAGCGATTCGCAAACATACCACAGAAATGACCGAAGAAGGGAGTGCGATTATCAAGGTGGACCCGCTTGGAGATGACGATGCTGTGGAGC